TACTCATCTGCTTAAAGTTACAAACGTAAACAATCCAGTCATATCTATAAATGAATTATTACTTTATAATGGATATAGTGATTCAATAGCCAATTACCAGGAAATGTGAAATTCTTATGGTGGCATAGAAGTGACATCTGGAGTATTATCTATCTTGTGAACACGACTTATTATCTTGTGGTCACGACTTTTATATTGCGTTCACGAGTCATCATCTTGTTGATGGTCAGGACTTTTTATGGTGCAGCCACAACTTATAATCATACAAAAGTATGGCCAAAATAGATAAATACAGAATCCCTAAAGAAAGCCCAACACGGCAAAATTGAAAATGTTGCAGGCTCGGTTTGATTGAGCCTGTTCATGGACGGTACTGGAAAGTGCAAGTTACCGTCCACGCCCCCTAGCACCGGCTGAAGCAGAATTCAACATTTAACATGAACTGGTAAAATTTAGAATTTTGAAACATCCGCAGATGTGTTCATATGGCGGTAATCATGGAACCTTCAATGTGACACGGTAGTGCCATTCCATGAAAAGCGGCATATGGTCCCCAAGTAAAAAAATGCGTGTGCCCTAAACGAGAAAACAATGGGCGGAACTAAATAAAATGGAATTTTGAAAGGGGATCTGAGATTATGAAGCCTGCGTATCACAGATAGGACGTCAAAAGACAAATTTAAAAAGCAGGCAACATATCCTAAGGGTGATTCAACATTATTCAAGTAGGAATATTGGAACCACCCAACTAGAAAGTGCCAAAAAGTTGAAACTAAAAATACCACAAGCACAACAATAATGTCGTGCTGAACGATCTTCAAGGATCGAAAATATAACATCATTGATTAAATGTACGGGGAGACTTTTTACAGCCGCCACACGGCACAAATAACACGGATGTGATCATAAAATAGATAAATACAGAATCCCTAAAGAAAGCCCATCACGGCAATATTGAAAATGTTGCAGGCTCGGTTTGACAAGACTTGCAAGATTAAATAATGCTGCAAATGATACCTCTGTGTCACCGTACATTAGGACACAAATTAGCTAAGTCTACACTACAAGTATATTTGTGAAAGTCATGTTTTTTTTCTGATTCTGGTTATTCTTATATTTTTTTCTACTACTTTTAGAAAACGGTGAGCCATGTTTTGAAAGTATTCATATACAAGAGACCCAGGCATCCGGCAATTATTTTAGCAGTGAACTTTCAGCGGTTGATGACTTGTTGGGGCCACGGATGATTTTTTTGTTTAAGGACTTAACAGACCTGACACCTTGGATTTTGGTATGTTGAATTCATTCTGAAGCACTTTCTGCATACTTAATTGAATTGAAAACACCGATAATGTATTCATAGATACTGATAAAATAAAAAAATGTTTCCTAAGGATGTCGATGTATATTTTTATTAACATGATAACTATATGAAATAATGTTTTCAATTGATTATTAATAGTTCATATACATGTATATTCTTGTTGATGTAATGTTTTTTTATTAAAATAAATGGATAAATGTTTTAAATAATGAGTTCTCCGTGTTAGAGGACATAAAATAAAGATATTTTCTTAAAATTTGTTGTCTTGAAAAATTTATTTATATAACTTGACAAGGTCACCTTGTTGTATTTGACGCTGTATCGCACTAATTTTAACTCTTAAAATAAAGTGAGAGCATGAAAATATTGCAAGCGTTCAGTTTTTTTTTAAGAAATGCGACAGCTTTTCTATGCAATATACTAAAACAGACTGGTAAGGGAATCTTTTTAATTAAGTACAATGTAGATCTAGTGTGTATGTAGAAATCAACTTCACACCAACTTCAGTTTCACATACAAGTTCATATACCAGGGTCACGGACATTTTTCGTCACTTGACAATAATGTACAAGCAAGTCGAGCAAGCTGGCTGAAAATGATTTGAATAAGATTCTAACTTTCGTTACACGATTGAATAACCAAACATTATGAACAACAATTAATTATTTTAAAGGAATATTAACTATTTCAAAGTAATACTTGCGCTATTTTTTGTTAGTTTTTAATTCATGTAACATATAGGATTAAAGTAACGTATCTTGAAATGCAGCGGGCACATTTTCGGTAAGTCTTTCAAATATTGATAAAAACAATAAGAATGAAAATTTGGATAATCTTATGAAATATTTCTAAAAACAATACATCGTACTTTAGTGAGTTATCATTAAAATAAATATTATGAATAATAATATTTTGTTGTATAAACTTCAATTATCTGATATAAATTAAAAAATACCTATTTGATCGTGTATCTAACACTAACGAACAATATCCATATTAAGTATTTTGTGGTTTGTTCTCACATATGATACAGAATATTTTAAACATGATTATTGTATGGTATAAGATTTTCCGTTATAAACTAGTTCACTTTAAAATTGAGATACATCAGCAACGTTTAACCAATTATATGTATAAACTAATGCCAGTGTCTTTATTCATCTAGGTGGACCTAATTTCTTTAACAACAATAGAAGCACTTCATATTTACTTACACACAGATACGTGGACCACTTGCAGTTTATATTTTGGCATGGATAAGTATCATCTACAGAAATACAAGGTAATCTCGGCGTATTACCAATATTCAATGTGAAATACATGTGTGTATGGATCATAAGACATACACACAACGATTTTTGTATTTTCTGATCAAAGATCAGGAAATACAAAGCTAACATTCAATCTCTGACACAGCGGTTTCATGACAAACCTAACAACAAGTAGTTCTTAAACCAGCTTAAAACGAGCGATTGAAAAGAAAGAAATATTTTTATTTTGTTAAAAGTATCCAACAAATTACAACGCATTCAAAGTTTAAAAGTAGCTTTGGGTTATAGAATTGTCAATAAATGCACATTCACAAATTACGCGGATGAATATGATTTTAATCAATGAAAATGCTATTTTTAGCGATGTCGATCAGAGCGTATTTCATAAATAAATCTGACTGTCGAGTAGTGGAATATATATACATGTCGGACTGTTTTGGCGAGAAGATGTTTGTTAAATTATTTACATAAATCTTAAACAACAGGTTTATCGTGAACAAAATACCTCGAAATAAATAAGGATTACAAACCCGAAATGCAATGGAAATTCTAAATTTAGTTTTACTTGATTTTATTCAGGCTTTCTCCGTATAACTTTTCTGTTGTGCAGTGTGTCAGAGGTCTGGGGTTCAAATCCTATTCAAGGCAACTATTTATTTTAAGTTTCTTTGTTAAGGAAGTAGCCACAATATGCAAAGATAAAGTGTGGCTGTCATAAAATTGAACATAAATGATTTTTAGTGCAACTCTAGTCATGCAAAATTCCGTATGAATCAAACTCTGGTGCCCTGCAAGAAGAATTATAGTACATAAAAATAAACTTGTACAGGAAAATAATACTGATATACAGGGCGATTTAGATTGCAAAGATCATTAATACCACAGAGCTTGCAGCCCTTTGATTTTTAAAATGTATACGTTAGTGTGGATTGCTACTTGCTGCGTCCCAATTTTCATAACGAGGAATATAATTTGTGCATTGAATTGAATACGGTTTATTCCAATATCAACTCACAAGTCATTAGTAAGTATTGTTCCAAATGCCAAAATCAAGATGGTAAACCTCCTTTATTTTTTGCACAAATATTAAGAACTGTTTCTAAAGCTATATCAATGCCCTATTAATAGCTGAACAATATGAGCGCCCTTTTCTATTAGTTCAAGCCTGACAGATATCTATTTCAATGAGCATATGCTTTTTCTTTGGTTTTGTTTGTTTTTAAAATCAAATCTAGGTTTCGTCCTCTTACCAATTCTCATGTTTGATACATATTAAACTAATCTTTGACTCATGAAAACATACTTGATGTTTTTGTTGTTGTTATATAAAACTTATTCAAAAATTTAACTTAGATCCTCAATATTTTTCAAACAAGATGGTAAACCATTGTTAATTTTCGTGTTTTTTTTTTTGTCATAATACGATAGAGATTATTAAAGTGTTTTGTGATTATTGACGCATTGTCAAATAGATATCTACTGCCTGAATTTAAATAAGTATAAAGATAATTTTGGCGTTTCTTAAAAAAGGCTGCTTTAACTTTTTTACGAGCATGATCATATAAAAACTTATTTAACCCAAAATTTTGATTTCATTGTTCAACAGTATTTGTTTTTCATTGTTGTTTTCTTTTCGGACTCATGTCATAATGGTTTGTTTCTATTACAATTTGCAGTTATAATGTTAGTTTTGTAAAAGTATTTAAGTGTTTTGTATGTAAATCAAAACACCGCTTTACTTTTATTATTGCTACTTTTATGACAAATAAGTTCACATTCAGCGCCACTTTTATTAGGTAATAATCATCTGTCATGCTCTAAAAACATTATTGAACATTTTAAATTTTAAAGTTATGTTGGGTCTTTCTAAAGATTGAAAATTTTCTTGTTTCTGGGTCAAAATGTGTCTTTAACATTCAGTCAGGACAGAAAGACAGAAAAAGTTGCTGTAGCGTAGTGTAACCATGGTCTCATCTGCATGGTCTCCTGATCACAGCACACGATACAGATCACTAGTACCACAAAATAATCGACGGAAATGTAGCTACAGATTGTTTAATTTTTTTTAACAATGTAAAGTTACCATAAGGTTACTCTATATGGTCATTATTCAAGTTGTTTGAAAATCATGATATTCATTTTACTTTATTTTTAGATAATGGAATTTACAATATTGTCGGCAGTTTGTTTTTTACATCGGTGATTAACAATAGGAATACTCGGTGATGAATTTTACTGCAAGGAATAACGTTATAGTCACTTGTGTCTCCCACTTCATTTTCTGTTATAATATGAGTATTTAGATATTTTGTCGCGTCTTGTCTATACATTCTATCCCCAATTTCTGTCTATAGTTCTATCGAAAAGTGTATATCTATGTATTAACTGATGGGTTGTTGACTCTAATGAATGTGCATGCAAGACGACATATTGAAATCTTATCAAATAATGACGTCACAGTGGAAAACGCCCTCTTACATGACAAAAAATATACTAAAAATAGGTCTCATAAACTGCCAAAAGAAAGCGTGAGTAGTTCCTGGTTATTACGTTACCATCAGACAATAGCCGATGTTAAACGATTCATCAAAGTCCGTATTTTCACATTTAATTGATTATCAACATTTAGTGATCACTGCCGTATGAACACATCAATCTATGGATGCGTTTTATTTGATCGTACTTTTCTTAAAATAAAACCTGAAATTTAATCGGCAGAATAACAGATTTTATTATATACTTATAAATGAAATATTGAGAAATATTGATGAAATAAAATGCGTATTTTCATTTTCCGTATTTTCACTGTAAAAATTTATTTTTCACTGCGGTGAAACATATTTTCCGTATTTTCACTGGTGTCTTGCCGGACTACTTTCTTTTAATTTCTGCCAGTACACAAAATTTAAGGGAAAGTCCTTCAAATTTTATAGCAAAAAAGAGAAAAATGTATATAATAAACAGAAAATTCAATTTTTTTCTATAAATACATGATTTATTTTCATCTTGTGGCATGAAAATTACCATATTTCACTCGTGGCTACCGCCACTCATGAAATATTTATTTTCATACCACTTGATGAAAATAAATCATGTATTTACAGAAAAAACTTGAATATCCTCTATATATGCATTTGATTTGTTGAGAATGCGTCAAAACAGGGGAGTGTGAAATTACCTCTAAATTATAAAAAAGATGTCATGTACCATGCACTTTTGGTTAGAAGTGAACTTAAATAAAATTTACATATATTTGACTCATTTAAATCGATGCACCTTATTAATATATAATTGAAATGGCTTTTAACTTAATATTTAATTTCTGTATCATACACTATTCACATATCATTTATAATAAACAACTAGAATGTTTAGATAATGTATAAATATCATGAGATAATAAATCAATACGATTTTGTGCTTTAGTATTAACAATTTCTCCAAAGTGGATAATATCTGCTCTATTTTTGATAATAAGAATGAAATAAAGATGTAGAAGTAACTGTACCATATCAAGTATCTGTCATTATTTACAGGAATTTCGGATTTTTCCTGGAACTGGGTTACCTAAAGCTCAAACAATTACTTTTCCCAGACCAATCAAAACCAGATACGTAAAATTAAATGAACTAGCAAATCCACCAATTAAACGACGACAACTAAGTTTCACGTTTTACGGTTGTAAATTGACAAGTAAGTATGAAGGTAAATGGATCACTTTCTTTTGACAAATTGAATAATTAATGCAAACATTTCGAATGAAGCTAAAATTTCACCATGAAGATGGTCATATTTTCACTTTTCTTGTTGCTATTTACTAAGTTACTTATCATTTGGTTTTGGTATCTTTATGGTAAATGTATATAACAGAGAACTAATCTGTTTTATAAACAGGTATCATTGACTTTACCAGCAACGGTTTATCTGAAATGTTACCTCTACATCAGGAATTGCGATCCGGAAACTCATCTTTCATTAGTAATACAAGTGTTGAGAAATGTAAACATCTTTGTAAATCTAAAAAAGCTTGTAGTGTTGCCAGTATCAATGAAGAGAAAAAATGTTATCACTACATGAATACTGAACTTGGGATATGGAAAACTAGTAAGATTACAAGCGGCAGTAAGTGGTTTGCCAAGCTACAAAACAATGGTATGTCATTATTTCCTCAAGAAATAATTTATCATTTTTCATCCGTCCAATATAAGCGGTTGAAATGTCTGTGGCAGTATTACTACTATTTCTACAAAGTTTTTTCGTCCATCTTTTGCTATTTGGTATTAAATTATCTATTCTGATTGCTTAGGACAGGCAATATACTGATATAAATGGCCAAATCAATTCACTTGTATATATGTCACCGAACAGTGACAATAATATAAACATGCTTTTCTGATATATTTATTCGCATTCGTTGAAAATGTAAAGTTGCATTTCTAATCGGCTCAAACGATACAAAAGATGAGAGGGTTTTTCTTTGGAAATATGTTAAGGATAAATAGTTTACGTAATAAGGGTGCGGTTACTGGGAATTCTGGGGATAAACAATGCTTTCACTTGAAATAGCGCGCTAAAAGTTTACTTAAGGGTAGAAAAATAAAATTGAAACAAACTTATTAAGTAATTTTAATAAATAAGATCAAATATATGAATTTGCATTGGTAATTTTCAACGGTAAATTTACTATTCAATATCAATATAACAACAACGTAACTCGAGGTATAACATGTTGTACATATATTTCGAAGGCTGCATATCATCACGATAGGAAAAATGATTATAAGCTGGAAATAATTCAAAAAAATAAAATAATATAAAATTACTCAGCATGGCTGTACGCAACCCTCGAGTATGACAAATAGCCTCGCGCTACAGTGCTCAAAAACTGTAGTTTATAATTGCTCTATATTGCATTCAATTGAAGCATAAAGATTTGACCATATTTAAATTGAACTGATGACATCATTTTAACATTTGTGCTTCACGCAAAATTGCATTTTAATGCAGTTCTGTTAGTGGAAATCATACCAGAATTTTGATTTTTTCCCGTATATTTTTATCGTTTTAGCAAGTGAATTATCTTCTTGCTATCAACATTTTTTCTTGTTAACACAGTATCTATGGTATCCTTTCCGAGGGCTTACCAGAAAGAATCGTTTTTTGGAAACGTACAGTACGTAGATGGCGTCTCTATAATAACATCACTCAGTTACCCTCTAACGGCAATTTTAGACAATGATATTCTATGGATTGTTAATTTTGCACCAGGACGGTTTGCCAAATTTGTTTTCACAAATGTTTCACTATCTGAGGTATGCGTTCGATTTTTTATCACTAACACATTAGGTTCTAAAACCATTCCAATATAAGTTAGTAAATTCATTATTTTATAATTTGTAAGATTAACGTTTTTGAGTTAAGATTAACGTTTTTGAGTTAATATTGGCTTCTTAACTTATTTTGAGCTTGTATCACTTTATAGTCAATTTCGTTTTGTAAGTAAACATTTAAATGCAACTTATCTGTTATTGAATATCGGAAAATGTTAAATTACAATTTGTTGTCATGTAACTGACTACGTTAACGCGGTGTTGTTCTTACAAAACTCTGCTGTTGTGTAACCCATTGTTTTATTTTTGGACTTTTAAAAGTTCTCAAATCCTACTGTAATTGAAAATTTGATTTGTTAGTTCATTTTACATGATTTTCATTACAACTTTATGCCGTGATGTAAGTATAGTTTCTAAATGATAATTTACTGGTAAGGTAAAGTTATTTTGTTTAAAAATTGCTACGTTATATATTTTATTTTACGCAGTGTGAATTCATTGTAAAAACATCGAAAGATGGTAACAAAGGATTTAGCATTGACGCGCGGTACAACGATAATGTATTTGTATTAGAAACAGATAAAAACCTGTTGTTCTTATCAGCAATGCCAACGACAACGACAATGACACCAAAGATAAAATTCCGGGCAATTGTTACTGCTGAGGGTAAATTTGATATAATAATTACTTATTTTCTTTTTTGAAAGAACTTGTAGCATTATATTAACTATTGTTATAGGCGAGATGTAAACTAGAGTAGATCTTTTTCTGTCACATTGATTGAATTTATAAAATTATAATTAAATCAAGTCATGACACCTAAGCGGTCAGTATCCTACTCTTTAGTAAATCTGCACATGAAAGTGAGTTAAAAGCATTTCATGCAGGTTACTAATAGCGTTTCAAAAAGTTTACACAGTTTTATCAAGATCTGGTTACACATAAGGCATGCCAAAACAAAGATTATTTAATTTGGAAGTATTCATTTTTATTGTGCCCCAACACAAAGGGGGAATTTTGATTTACCCTTGTCCGTCCCTCCGTCCGTCCGTCCGGGCGAACATCCAATGGTCTATAAGCTTCATTCCGTCCATAATTTTAGTTAAAACAAGAAGACAATCTTATAAACCTACTGGTTCATTTGGTAATTTTACTGGTTTATGGGGAAAATGCCATATAAAGATCAAAGAAAAATCACATTAACACCTAATGTTGACATGCCGTCCTTCTGTCCGTCCGTTCTCTTTTGTAACGCACGTAGCTTAAAATTTATTTGACCAAGAGTCATGAAACCTTACGGGAAAGTTGATAAGCATGTGCAGTTGTGCACATTGGTATTTTCTAGTGGATATATTTAGTATTTTTAAAGTAATTGTCCTTAACTTAGTAAAGAATCGTAATTTTCATATGTGTCGCACGTAGCTCAAAAAGTGTCATGAAACCTTACAGGAATGGTGCTAAGTATGTAAAGTTGTGCAACTAGTTATTTTTGTATTGATATATTTGGTCTTTTTGGAGTTATTGCCCTTGACTAAGTTTCGCAATTTTCAACTTGTGTGCACATAGTTAAAAAAGTATTTAACCTAGTCATGAAACTTGAAAGTAATGTTGATCAGCATGTGCAGTTGTGCATCTGTGTATTTTCTTTTAGATTTATTAAGTAAATTTAGAGTAATTGTCCTTGACTTAGTTAAAATTGGCAATTTTCAATTTGTGTCATATGTAGATTAAACTGTATTTGACATAGGGCCATTAAGTTTTACCGGAATAATGATCAGCATGTGCAGTTTTGCATCAGGGGTTTCGCTTGTGAATTGGTCTTTTTGGAGTTATTGCCGTTGACTAAGTGAATATTTAAAATTTTCTATTTGTGTCATGCGTACCTAAAAATGTATTAATTCTAGAGTCATGAAACTTAACATGAATGTTGATCAGCATAATTATGTAGTTGTGCAAAATGGATTTTGTTTGTGGATTTATCCAGTATTTGACTGAGTAAAAACCGTTTCATTATTTTGTGTTATTTGTTCCTTGAGTGGTTGAGTTAGAATCAATCAACTATGCGGGAATGATAATCAACATCATGTTTAAGCAATGCACATTGTTGACGTTTTTTTCAGTTTTGTTAGAATTATTGCCTTTGACTTAGTATAAATTTTCAATTTTCAACTTTATCATGCATAGCTCAAAAAGTATTTGACCTGAATGTTTACAAGAATGTTGATCAGCATGTGTATGTATGCCCCTTGGGATTAGCTTGTGTATGTGTTCAGTATTTGTAAAGATCTTTCCCTTTACTTAGTAAAAATATTTTAGTTTTCAACTTGCGGCACAAAAAAAAAAAATTTAACTTAGAGTCATAAGATTGACAATATAGTAGAGTGTCGGGGCGCCCATGTCCTATGGACAATCTGCTTTTAAATTGGACACAAAGAGCACAAGGCAGGCAACTAAAATGTAGGAGGAAAACCTAAAAACAATAATATCTGTGTAAATTACAGTTTTCTTTCATAAAACAAAGTTAAAGAAACTTTGTTGCTCTAGTTTGAATTTTCATTCTTTGCAAATATTAAACTTGTTGTACTGTTTGCCTTGTTAATTTTTTAATCAGTGATGAATGTCTTTGAAATATAATTTTATTTAATATTTCTGTGCTAGAATTATTTATTTTAAAGACAATCTGCAAAAAGACTTAGATTTACCATCACTTGGCCTTAGGAAAGTGACTCTGTTCCCGTTCTGGATTTCTTTATTTAGGGACTTTTTCTATTTGAAGTGATCTTCATATTTTGTCTTTATTTCCTCACTCTTTTACCGAGAAAAAATAAAAAAAAGTTATAAGTTACCTATTAGGATTCTGACTCATTGTATCAATATCAGAAGACTGACATAGTAATGATCTTATTTGCCAATACCGAGCATTGTCATATAGTCGCTTAATTTAACTGTCTGCAAAATTGTAGACTTCGAAATATCACATTTGAAATTGTACGAATCGGATATATATACATCTGGCCAATGTAGTTAATATAAAGACGAAAGAAAGGGCTTTGAATTTTAACTTTTTTATTTTTTAAGTTTATTACTCTTTTTGTGGGGAATGAATGATAAACAGATGTATGTTTAAACGCTCCACTATTTTCCGCTTGCTTGCACAACTTTTTTGAAAAAAAAAGTTTTAGCGAACTTAGCAACTGGAAGCAGGCAGGAATGTTTTTATAGTTTTGTGGATACGACGCAGTCCATATTGCTTTATCCATTTTTCTTTATCTTCAAATCAATGATATACTTGTTTCAGAGTTAACTTTAAACTTCGAAATATACATTTGCATCATTTATTTAAATTTCATTAATAGGAGATGTTTATTTTCCAAAAAATAATGATTTGAACGAAATGATACGGCGCAGTTTAAAAAGAAAGTATGATACGACGCAGTTAAAAATTCATTGTAAGCTAAATAATGGTTCAGCTGTTAAAACATGCGCTAAGTATGCTAGTTACAACATTTATTGTTTGCGAATAGTTTATCATAATGAATGCGCAAAAGTCATCTTGTATACAACTTAAGTCAATAGGTCACTTACTGGTTCCACGAAATGGAAAATGTATTAACATTCTATTAAGGCTTTATTTTTTTCAGTCTGGTTTAAAGCACTTGTGATAAGCATCTACAAATTCAGAAAAAAATGTATCAAATTCTAAATACATTGAAACAGTGATCGCACACCCATATGACAACGTGTTATAGTAGTGCCTTAACATGCCTGATAACTTGTTATTGTGAGTTCGAAACGAATGGGGGAGGTTATAATTACAATTAAAAAAAAAACGTATCTTGCTATCGCTAGAGATGTATCCGCAAATTGCATGTCTTGTTACTATAAACAACAATTTCCAACAATTTCTTTATTACCAAGGTCTTTAACGCGCCGATTTAATTATATTCATTTTCTTTATAATCGGTGAGAACATATGAAACTAAAATTAGTATTTAAATCAGTATTTGAAATGAAGTATTATTTATCTCTTAAATCAACATTTAATTGTTATTATTCTATTATATAGTTAAGCTACGATATTTTTTGCAAATAAAGGTAACTATGCGTTTACCGCTGATTTTGTCGTTTTGCATTTCTTTATCGCCGATGAGAACAGACGAAATACATTTTCTAAAAAAATTAATTAGATATTTGAAATATAGTATCATTCTTTTCCATAATAAACTTTGAATATTCAATATCGAGATATAAATGGTAAAGAGTACAACTTATTTTGTCACGTAGGTGTACGTTTTGAAAAGGCATTTTACGCTTGGCACCGTTAAACTTGATGCTATGGAGGCTATTCGTTGCCAAAAGTCCAGCCTTGTTGATCTCAGTTGAACAGTTTGTTAATGGAAAAAATACAATTGTATTTCTTTGTATGTAAACTCCAATGTTGCATACTTGGATTGAGTTTGCCGATTTAACATTGTAAACATGCATTTCAACAAAATACATTTTGTTAAACGACAAAACATTAACTGATAGTAGCAATACCAAGTGTTCGAATACTCAAAACAGAAGTTACATTCTTAGTTTTACATTGTCGAACCATCATGATTCAGGTCAGCATAATCCAGCTTTACACGTTTTTCAATAGGAGATATAATAAGCTCCGCCCATTTTCCCGCCCACTAAATCATCGTAAATAAACGTATTTTTCGCTCATTTTCGGTATTTGCCATCGCGACAAGAAGCGGCGTAGTTTCCGTTTATCATACATTTTAGGTGTTTAGTTACTAAACATAATTCACTTGCATGATTGCCTACAATCAACATCAGCAGACTTTAAAGGAATATAGGCATATAAGTTTTAAAACGTTGTAGACGCCACATTTCCTGGAAAACGAACTTAAAAAAACCCCCCAAAAACACCAGGTTACATACTGTCTGAGGTTAAATATTTTTCAAGGAAGTGAAAACTATTGAAAAGACTATATTCAACGACAAATAAATTTTACAAATGGTATTCCAATTTGCATAGGAATGAGTAACATTTACAGTTAAGCTGCTACCTTACCACTTTCAAATTTTCAAGTCAACATCTGATAGAGATTTTGATACGACTAATTACTAATACAGACCAAATTCTGGCTGTTGTCCTTCCTAGTAGAACTATTATATTAGTAACCTTAATTCTAGCGTATGACTTGACAAGAAAACTTTTAACAATACAATGTAGGAAAATTATATCCAAAGTTGTATGTACCCTTCCGTACATAACTTTTAATTTTTACCATATATTTTCCCATTTTGTTTTTCAATAGGTAAAATTTAAATGAGTCCAAATGTATGAATGTTGATTATCAATTTATGTATACCTTGTTTATTTTATCTGTTAGAAAGCCATCACTTACAAAACTTAATTATTCTGTGTAGTATTTCATGTACATAAAAGTAGATCTCTGTTTTTGATCATATAGACAGCAAATCTAGACAGCAAATCTAGGTAACAGCTAATGACAGCATGTATACACATATTTTAGAGGTGCTATTGATTCAGCACAATGCATAAAAAGACTTTAACCTACGCCAGCTTACATATATTTAACAATAAAAGACTTAATCACATCCTTTGACTCAAAATACCTCCCAATGGAGGTAAACAGAGTTGCCAGGATACA